TTCCTATGGATATAAATTAAATATGTAGCACATAAAAATAAATAGAACGTAATAAACACACTTTTTCTCACTTTCTTAAAAAAATACTATATTCAGAAACAAGTGGCTGTGTACCATGAGGTTTGCTCAAAAAACAGTTTTCTCGCTCCCTCTTGACAAAATCGGCTCCCTTGCTCCCTTAGCAAGGCACTGTGTGTGTGGGTTCGTGTGTGTGTGTTCAAAGCTTTTGTATGGGAGCTAAGGGAGTGTCAAAACTCGAATGTCACTATTGAGCAAACCTTTAATTATTGAATCGTGGCTGTGCTCTAAAGAATGGATTTTGTTATTTAGTTTTTATGTGGCTCATTATTTTTATTGAAAACTTTGCATACCTTTTTGAATGTTTAGTCTCGGTTGTTTGCAAATTCATTTTTCACATCTTGAGATCTCTCAGGAATTTGGAATGTTTTCACTATTCCATAATTACATTCTCAAAATGTGTTGTCAATCTATCTATCGGATTCTAATTTATGAGACTGTAACACTACCTTTTTAATTTAATAGTTGAACTGTAGTAGTTGTAGCTGTAATAGTTGTTTGTTCGGAAAAATAAAACAAATTGGCAAAATAATCACTATCAAGTGGCATGGATATATTCGATACCAAACAAGCAAGCAAGCAAAAAACAAAAATCACTTGTGATCAACATAAACATCCGCACATACACCTATTAAACTAAATACCAACAAAATCATTTATTGAGTGGTAAGTATCGTATACAGATACATACATACATAAATACGTATCAGGCATGCAACCGAACAAAATCCCCCTGTTGAGGGCATGCATGGATTTATGTACATATGTATATGGGCAAATCTAAAAACCTGGTAACCTTGTTGTTATTTAGCTTTATTTTCACTGTTGGAAACTATGTATATCAAGCTGGTTGCTTTTGGATATAATTCATTGACGTATACTTGAATCCTCAAAAAAAAAAATTGGATCAATTTGCTGCATAACTTTTGAATTATAGTTGTTTGAATTTAAAAAAGTAATAAAAAAAAGTTAATTTTTTATGTAATTTTTAAGAGAGGCAAAATTAATTATGTCTTAACTTTTGAAGCACACCATATTCTGACTTGAGATTTAATGGGCTTTAGCACTTATGTGTATACATATGTTTATTTTTTAATTTAAAAAGATTTTCAATTAAAAAAATTCATTCTCTAACAAATACCATAGAAACTTAAAATATGAGCTTAAAACTTTGCAGACCACTGAAAAAAATGCATCAAAATTTCAAACTTGTTTTTCAGAAATGTTAAAATAAGTTATGAGTATATAGTTTTATAGCCTATTAATTTTAGTGTAATAATGCGCAAGTTTCTAGTTTTTTTTTTTTTTGAGAGTGTACCTATTTTTTAGATTTGCCCATATATGTATGTATTTTCATACATTTCATGCATGTAATTTAAATTGTTTGCAACTGATACATGTATATGTGTGTAGAAAATAGATTGCTTTACTTTGTTTTTGTAATTATTAATATTTTCAATTAAATACTTTTCTAATTTTTTCGTTTTTTAAGAATTTTAGACCGATTTCTGCTATTTATTTAAATACGAACAAATCCTTTTTATAAAAACAGGGCTTTGCAAAATTTTTCTACGGTTTGTCAATTTTGAATATTTATTTTTTGTTGAAGCAAACAAATGACACAAAGTTAAAACTTCGGGAAGGCATACAATTAGGAATTTTTGGTCGAGCTTGCGAGCATAATACGAAAAGTCACTTTTTTATATTTGTGCCGAGTCACGAAAGGCAGGAGTTTGTTAAATGTCGAAATCTGAAACTGCTCAGCTACAGAACCAAATTCCTAAGCTGATTTTTATGTCTTTATGTTAGTCAGTAATTTATTCTAGGATAATAGCATCGCTTTCTTAATGCTGAAAAGCGGTATTCCAAATTTTGAATTCCTTCCGCATAATTCTTTTTTCAGTGATGGCCTCTTCATTTGACCCAAACCTCTTACCGCTCAGCAATTTCTGCTGGGAGTAGGGTCCTGGGTTTTTAGTTTTTCTGTCTGACGTCAGGATTTTTTACAGGACTTCGAAAATTGAATAATATGAGTAATTCAGAAAAATATTTAAAAAATTCAGTGCAAAGTACTTAGAAAAACAGTATGGGTATTAAATTAAAATGAAAGTTATGTAGAGAAAAAAATAACAATTTTTGGTGCAAAGGGTATTGAAAATGTCCTTTTCAAATTTTATCCTTGAATATCCTTGAAATTTTGCAATATTTATTTTGAAAAAATGATACATTAAGGGCTATTATAATAAACCCGACAACGTCCTCAAATATAGTATTTCCAACTTTATTAGCTTAAAAAAACTCAGTGCGTGTAGTTCCTACGCGCGGAAGAAGTGAAACTTAATATAAGAATTCCAGAAAGAAAGAAATGTGCGATATACATATGTGCATACACATGTGCATATTTTTTAATATACAAAATATATTTGTCTTAAACTTTTTTTTTAACGAGCTTTTTTTTATTTATTATAACCAACTGCTAAATTTAATAGTTATTTGTGGCTGAGAAAACATTCATATCTACAATATTAACTAGTGGATTGTGGCAAAAACTGCATCAATGGTAGTCCCTCCTTTGGTTGTTGGATCACTTCTACCATAAACCATTTCCAATGATATTTGCAATATTTCGAGATATTTGCAATTTGCCGTTATTCAGCTTAAAACAAAAAGTGGTTCCACTTAATCACGTAGTACCAGGTTGACCGAGCTTTCCCGGAGTGCATATACTTTTTTAAGTTTATTTTGGAAATAAAAAAATATGATTTCGATATATGTTAAGTAAATTTCTTACTCCAAAATTTAGTTGGTTAGCCTATTCCGAAATACGTTGGAATGATATGTACATATATTGAGCGTTTTTGTACAGAGTATACATAAAAAAATGCTGATTGAAATCAACAAAATAAAAATTAGTGTTACATAGAAGCATGCCAACCCTGGTGGAAAATATTTTCTGACCAAAGTTCTCAACAATATATTTCATTTGATATCCATATTGCGACGTTTTAGATTAATTGTGTAGAATCGAAAATAAGTGGCAACCTCGCACAATTATCCTAAGGGATACTATTTTGTATATAGGGAAAGCATTGTTTAAGAACCTGCTCTGGGTACCAATGAATAGTAATATTTGACCTTAAAAAAAATAAATAAATAAATATGTGATTCAGAATAAGGGGCAACCCTATTGAAAATATTTTTGAATTAGGGATCTTTAAAATATCTTCCATTTGATACCCATATTATGATGCTTTAATTAATTTGTAACAAATTTGTAATTTGTTCGATTTTTACGATCCCGGTATTTTTGGAATGTCATTTGTTCAATCCCGGGATCCCGGGATCAGTCCCGGGATTTAGATATTTATTATTTTTCAACAATTCAATATGAAAAAATTGCTTCAATATGGTTTGAGAAGCTCTCCTACCATATAATAAATAATAAGTAAATGGGTTTGGAACGTGCTTTTTTATTTAAAGTGAAAATTATTTCATAAGTAACAAAACGAAAGACAGTAAATAAATTTACATGCATTTAGTAATACTTTACCGTGTACATATCTGATAAAGTAATTTAAGGTATGTATGTCGAAAAAAGCTCGATGTCGATACTAGTGGCAGAAATAAAAGAAGCGCCTTAACTCGACCAGTTTTGTCTATATTCCTTTTTTTTTAATTTACATTTCTTTATAAAAGTCAACCTCATATTACACATAATGAACCGCACATAAATGGGCATTTCTCTGACGTCATGATTTCTTCAAAAGGCGTTATAATTTCAAAGATATGGGTAATTCCAACATTTATTTAAAAAAATTCGGTGAAATGTAAAACAAAAATATGGGTACCAAATGAAATTTTTTTTTTTTTCGTTCATAAGGACGAATAGCAATTGAAAATGCAATTTTTAATCAATTTTATTTTTTTAAGCTAATCAAGTTAGTCCTTAAATATATATTTTTTTTTTTTCGTTCATAAGGACGAATAGCAATTGAAAATGCAATTTTTAATCAATTTTATTTTTTTAAGCTAATCAAGTTAGTCCTTAAATATATATTTTTTTTTTAAATTAGAATTGCAAAATTTCAAGGATATTTAAGGTGAAAATTATAAAATTTTCCAACCTCATTTTGAGAAATTTAAAGAACGGCGCAAATTTGATGACTTTGAATATTGAATAATTTGAATTTAATTTTTCAACAGGTGGCAACTCTTTTCACATCTACATGCCAAGTGCTTTAATTTGAAAACTGAGCGAACGGTGCCAATTTTATGTCCTGGGCAAAAAATCCCTTCGCGAATTGTATATATAGATTAGTTTTGGAAGCTCCAGATAAAAGCAAAAACAGAATTAGATAGATTTTTTATTCGGATCTCCAAGTATTTTTTATTATGAAAAGCCAAAAAACACACGCATTCAATGGTAAGTCTAATACATTCGAAATAGTGTGCGCATTAATTGATTTGAAAACTGAAGGAGATTGAAGTGTTTGATCAAAATGAACTTACGTATTCCTTTTGTAGATGACTTTTTCTTATGTTCAATACAATGTTCAGTTTCGTTCCTTACTTCTTTTAGATGCAAACGCTGAATTAATGTTTTATTCGAAGTTACCATTGCCGAAATGGCTTTGTTTGTTTTTCACAAGCAATATACTTATTAACATCAAATGCACCACCGCTATTCGCGTACTAACAAAACAACTTAAACAATTTGTCTAATTTGCAATTGTAAATAGATTTGCTCCTATTACGTGGGCACCTCATCACACCTCTACACACCGCCATCTACAACCGCATACCCAAACCTGCCAACAAGTTCAAGTTTTCTTGTTGTCCACCACCGATTCAACGCACATATCACCACAATTTCGAATTTGTCAAACTAATTTAAATTCTGTGAATTGCTTTTGCCTTTGCAGGACTTCAAGGAGTTCACCGATGCCGAGGGTGTAATTTCGCTTCCAACGTCGGACTTCCACAAGCCCGTTTGCGTGGAGATGCGAATGGCTGCCAATCAGGCGAACCGAGATCTGCGCGCCAACCAGTTCGGTTTGCTGGCCCCACCTATACACCTGCCGACGTCTCAGCCACAGTTAGCAGGCGCCATTACTGCCGCTACAGGCGACGCACATGCCGAAGTCATATTTTCGATTGGTGGTGGTGGCGGCGTGATGCGCACCCCACACCATCTGCCCCATCACACTGCCAATAGCCTAGCGCCGATTGCATCGCAATCATCATCCACCTCGTCATCGTATGGCACCACTACGTCCACCACCATAGCGCTGCCACTCGACACTCCATTTCGTTACCCACCATTCATCACTAGCTACAGCAACAATAACTTCAATTACAATTATAACAATAATTTCAATACAACATCGGTGGGTGCATGTCCAGCACTGTCAATGGCAACCGGTAATGCTGCTCTGGCTTTGGGGAGCAATTTTAATAACAACTTCAATGTTAACATCAACAACAATAACAATGCAGATCTGGCTAGCGTGGACAGTTCGGATACGTACGCCAGCTGTCAAACTCATCCATTTCATTCCCAAGGTGATCTCACTGCCGACCTGGCCGACGAAGCGTGCGCACTGGACATCGACATGGATAACTTGTACATAAACCCGTTGGAAAAAGAATCGACGACGTCGACAAGTGGGCCAGGCACAACAGGTTATATCGTCGGTCTTCCACCAACCGGTACTACTGGTCTGACACCGATGGGACTGATGCGTTCGCAGGTGAAGAAAAGCACGTCGGGAGACACGGCGCTACGTAACATGGCCGCAGGCGGTCTGAGTCCGATGGACGAGGTATATCAAAACTTCGAAGTGCAAGAACGCGGCAGTCGTGTTAGTCTCAATGAGAATCCCGTTCCAAAACATCGCAAAACACGATTCCAAAGTTTCACGTCGATGCCTACCGGCGCAGGGACGTCAAACAAGCCACGAGCACGCTTCGAAGAGGCCAAGATCATACAAGACAACGCAAGCAGCAGCCACGATAGCAGCCCTGCCGGCAGCGGGAGCAAGAAGAAGCGCTCATCCTTCATGCCCGGAAAGAGTTTAGCCACTGCCACCAAGCTAATCAACCAGCATCTGTTCGGAATACAGAATGTTGGACAAAAAGGTAACGTTTGAATATCTTTTGTCGTTTTGCTGACATTCTCTGACCATTTATTTTACTCCATTGCAGCGAAATTCGAAAGTAAACATTCCTCGTCGATAGACTCTATCGACGTATCTCCAAATCTTGAGCAGCATCGACGTTCAAAATCGATACTCAAAAACAAATCTGATATCTCACGGGTGCTCGCAGATCCCGAGAGCGAGCGCCTACTGGCCGACAATATGTCTGGGTCGGGTGTGTCTGACAATGGCACCGTCATGGTACTTACTTCGAGAAATTAACTAATATTTTCTTAGGAATACATTACCAATACAACCAATCAAATTTCAGTTTTGTTTACAGGGCGAATCTGGCAGCGATTACTCACCGAATAAATTACCTCACTCAATTTTAGCCAAGTCTATCTCCCCACCACCATTGCGGCATCGGATGCTGATACAACAGCGTTCCGGCCCTGCGACGCTGCAGTCGAGGCCAACAAAATTCCAAACGCCTCGCTACCCAGAAGAGCAAGCGTTGCGCCACGTCAAGCCAATGTTGGCGCGTTCAACTGCCACATCGCACATGTCCGGCGACAGTCGATACGACTCGACCAACAGAGACAGTAGTCAAGGTAATTAAAAGTCCAAAAGTTGTCGACACGAGTACTGGTGTAGTGGCATTGCGAAATTGGTCGCCATTTGAGATTTATTTAAAATCTATACAAATTTATTACGATGAACCAAACATTTTTTAAGCTTCATTCGAAATTCATCTAGCTCTCACCAATTTACGATAAATTCGGTCATGTTGCGTCTGCACTCTGCACACAAGGGACGCCATACGCCTGCGTTTATATCCGTATTCAAATTTTAACTGAATTCATCCTTCGGTATGCGTAAATATACATCCATACATAGTATACTGCTTTGTAGTTGATCGCTAAATTATGTACCTACAAGAAAAGCTGTTTTGTTTTAAATTTCACAATCGCACTGGGGTTTGTATATACACACATATGATACTACCAGGGTAGTTTGATAATTCCGTGAGTTTTGAATTTTTCACGGAATAACGTTAAAAGCAACACTTCCTTTGTCTGTTACCTCTAGGATGGGCAATTGAGCATAAGTAGGTCCGTTTTGAATTTAAACATCTACTTTTTCGGTTTTTAAAGCATCCATCTAAAATTTCTTAATTTCTTGTGGCAACGCTTTATGAACATAACCAAAAATTGTGTCGATTATTTTCCATCGGTAGAATATTTTTTTTTACTGCCTCAACATCAAAAATTACCTTCTTCTTATTGGCGCTGTATTCGCCTCACCGATTTTGGTCGATTCTAACAACATACACCAGCCGAAGCCAACTCCATATCCACCGGGCCTTTCCATCGCAGAGGAGGCCTCTTCCTTCCTTCTTTCGATCCACCGCCTGCGTTACCCTCAGTCGCCAACGCGTAAAGGTCCGTAAATCATTAGCAAAATTTGGATTTCGATGCTGTCTCTATTATCGATGTTAATGCTGGCTCCCAAATAAAATAAATTCTCTACTGTTTAAAATTTATATTTGTCATCAGTGCCATGGGTACCGAGGCACAAATGCGCTGAATGATTGTTTTATGACAGGAGATACCTCGTCCTGTCCTCGTTTCCCACCAGATCCATTCGCTTTACTTTTCTATACAACTTCACTTTCACGATCTTGTGGTAAATGGTTCCTGATCGGTTCAGTTCTGCAGTTCTCATTATTTTCTCTGACATCAACACAGGGAGTAGCCCTGTCTGAAACCCCGTTAGGTGGCAAACGGCTCAGTAAGGTCTTTCCCAATTCTGACCGATCTGATGCTATTGCTCAACGTTATTTTGCACAGCCATATCAGGGAAGGCCAAATTCAGACAATTGGGCGTATTGTGAATACCTGGTCAATGGTTGATTGGCCAGATCTAAAGCCACACTGATAAGGCCCAATCAGTTCGTTGACGGTGGGCTTCAGTCTTTTCTTGTGGATTGGGCAGAGCACACTTAAATTCCAGTCGTCAAGCATGCGTTCATATTCTGCCATAACCATAACCATAAGCATAACCATATTCTGCATAAGAGTTGATGCATGCACCTTATCAACTCCTCGTCACCGTACTTGAATAGCTCAGCTGGCAGGCTGTCAGCTACAGAAGATTTGCTGTTTTTCGGCTGCGTAGTTGCGAAAACATTTTTATGTTCCATGTTAAAGTTTAAATTATTTTTCATTCGCAATGAAAACTTAAAATGAAAATATCTTGGGGAAATTACCTGATCTAGAAAAATGGTCTACAGAACCGCAATATACGCGCGGCTGGGTGTTTTTTTTTTTGGGTCATTTTAGTATCAGTACAGCGTTAAGGTGAAATGAAGGTCGAAAGTATATTATAGTTTCAATTAAGTGGTGGATGCACGGAACCAACTATCTGACGCCATCAAATGATTATACATCAAGCTAGAAACATAAAACACACCAGCGTACTTGTACCATGATTCAATAATGAAAGGTTTTGTAAGAAAAACTTTCTCTCGCTCTAATTTTATCAATGACACTCCCACCCTACTCCTAAGAACAAAAACAGTGATATTTCTTTGCAAGTTTTAAGAACATTTTTAAATTGTTAGTAGTGAAATTTTTACTTTTTAATTTTGGAAAAATGCTTGTTCTTCATTCGCTGGCGCCAACAAGACAAAATGGGTGAGAATCGTTGGACTACAGAAATTCAATGTAGGCTAAAGATATCAAATTCACTTAAATGCCGAAATGTATTTGTCGATATTCGTGGAACCAACGAAGGTATTTAGGTATTGTCCTCCACAACACAATCCTGGTGTCTCCGAATGAGACTTTGACGCAATATAACATTGCCAAACCGCATCCATAGGCCCAATCGTCACACGACAGCTCGGTTTAGTCAATGGCGCGATGTAATTGCACACTTAAAAGGTGTACGCATGAGGCGAATGTTGGCTGACGACCAACTTTGTTGAAAGCGATTAGTTGAAAGTAGAATGCAAAGTTGAACATTGCAAACGCCTTTTATGGCGAATATTTTGATATTTTTTTATATTTTGATAGTTTTAGTCATTCAAATTTTTTTTTCCGTGCAACCCGGCGAATGGTTAATATTCTGACAGTGGTATAATCTCCCCAGAACATTAAAAGTGCGACATCAAAGTATTCGAAGTACTATATTCGAAACAATCGAGCCATAACCGCGAAAGAAACGTAAGCTCCAAATTTTTTTATTTGCCGTTTTTTTTTTTTGTTTAATAAATATTGCATATTTTCCACAAACAAATAGCTTCTTCTTATCCATCATCCGGCAAACAAATACAACAAAAAAAGGCTGAAAGTGGACCATCCATTCTCAGGTTATGCGCCATCTGACGTACACAAACTTGGTATATACATAGAAATATTTATTTTTAATAACAATCGGGGTTATATTCGATGTAAATAAGCTTGTTTAAATTAAATAGTTAATTCAAATTCGATTTTATTTTAAAATACCACCATTCAATATTATCCACACCTTTTTATGGAATTTAGCTCCCATTTTAGGAAGTGTGATTGAGTTCTTCCCCTTTTTCTCCTGCTTCCATACACCATCCCTGTGGGTGGGAGTGCCAAATTTTAGAAAAAAGCTACTTACAAAACCTTTAATAATTGAATAATGTACTTGTACGATATTTATTTCTTTACAAATGAGGTGCGGAGATGATCGTAATGATTGGCATTAGAGTTTGTTCATTTTTCTAGCATTTTGTTATAACATTGGTTCGTAAATTCACAATTGCAATGTTGTCAACTTTAAATCTTCCACAAAATACTCTTTCTATTTAATTCATAGTACCCCGCGATGTTTACTGATTGACGACTTATGACGACTTACATACATAACGAAGTCAAAATATTCCGAAATCGATAAATAAAAAATACAAAATTTTATGCGTAATGGAATTCGTAATTATAAATTTCCACAAAGGCCTGCGTTGGTCATCCTTGAAGAATCCAAAATAAAGGAAAAAAAAATGCAGCGTCCATGATTTTATTTATATTTTTCTTTAAAAAATACGTTGTTAACTTAATTTTCCCCTACGGCGCTTTTTTGTTAATCTACGACAATATTTTAGTAGATATAGCTCCCTGATAAAAAAATTTATTAGGTAAAAGTGTGACCGTTTTTGCAATATTTATATTTTTTGAATTTAAAAAAAAATCGTCCCTTTTCATGTATTTTCTTTAACTGCATCTACAAACCAGGCTGTACTTAGTAAATTTTTTATGTAAAATCTTCTCCAATGGTCTAGGGTTTCTCAGCACGATTACTCGGAAATAACTTTGAAGAACTTTTTCTCTTCACGTCCTGCGGGCAACAATGACCCGGTTCGATGGTGAATCTGTCCTTGAAACTGTCTAGTATAGTTGGTGGGGTTTGTGTGGGAGGTGCCACGCGCCCTTTTCCAATAGCCACAATTTTTCATATATATTCATACCAAGTATCGGTACTTCAGCATGAACCCTGCAGGGAAACTACGAACTAGTGAATCAAATTTCTAGTTTCGTACTAGATCTTTATCGCCAAAAATGAATCAGTCCGATAGTAACTAGATCCGCACCAGCCCAAAATCAGCGAAATGTGGTGCTTTTAAAAAACCATTACATTTAACAATAACAGCAGCTTCAGCCATTGACGGACATTTCTTACATTCATTCACACAAATTTAATTGCAAATTGGAAATACATTTCTTTGAAAATAATTTAAAATCGCACATATGCCACGTCCCCTTTTTCTAGCGGTATGAAATATACTTTACGACATATTCTCATACCTACCAAATATACAAAAAAATGCATAAAATGAAATGTCTTTCGTAAGACCGCAATGCCTGACCAAACGGCTGAACCGATTTCAATTCTGTAAAAAGTACGTTTTTGGTTCTTCTGTGTGGAAGGTTTTTAAACAATATAAAACAAAACTTTTTCTTTTTGTTGCCAAAAAATTAAGAAAGCTGAGACGTCACGATTTCACAATTTCATAGACTTTTCCTTATATTAAATGTATTAAACTACTAAACGGCTGGACCGATTTCGTTCATATTTGGAACATATACATATGTCAGCACCTTGAAGGGAAATATTTCGACCAAAAATTTAATCGCTAGGTGGCGCTGGGGTCGGGATATGCCCAAAACTGAATTTAGGTGCAAATTTGGCTGATAATTAGAACATTTGTTAGCCAATTGAAAAGGTCGGGATATTCCTCACGTTCTTATACAGTGGGAGAATTATGGATATCTACACATACATATATATGCGTCACAAGAAAAGGTTGAAATCGCTTTTTCGAGGGCACCAATATATACTGAAACTTGGCACGGATGCATAAACTGTAAATACCCTACTTATGACGATAACTATAAGCTTTTGGAAAAAGGGGCGTGGCACCTACCATACAGACTTAACATCTCCTACCGCTTATCTCTGGAAGCGCTTATGCTAACGTCCTGAAATTTTACAAAGCTACATGTTTTATCAGTAGCGTACTTATGGCAAAAAGTAGCAGATATTGGAAAAGGAGAGGTGCCACGCCCTCATTCAAACTTAATTTCTCAAATCGCCTATATATGGAACCGCCTTATGCTAACGTCCTAAATATAGATATGCAAGCATCATTCGACTAGGAACCATTTTCTCCTAGATTTCTAAATCGCATTGAGCAATTGTTATTTTCTTTTTAATTTTTGGGAAAGGGTAACATTTTTTTGTGAAAATCTTGAAAAATTTTTGAAGTTTGAAATTTGAATTTTTATAAGTTTCGTTATATGTAGATTGTCCTATCTACATACATACCTATATACATAAAATGGTAGCTGTTTCAGTTCTTTGGACTAAACTCAAAAAGCACTAGATAGAGTTCAGTCTGTGGACTAATAAGTATATATATTTGTTCACCGATTTCGTTCAAATTCGCATTAGCTGTATGGTCGAGATATTTATAAAATCCTAATTTTTTAAACAACCTGGCTGAAATTTTTAATGCGTATTCATTTCTTGATAAGCAGTGGTTTTGCAGAAAAGTGACCCAAGGATGGCGCTGCAGCCGTAATATATAGAAACCCCATGTGTTTGATCTGCTTTGGCCCTATGTTTATTTTATATATACGAATTTAGTTTTCAGATGGATAAATGAAATTGTGTAAGCGCACCTTTGTCTGGCGCCCTCATACACCCTTAATGCGATCTTGCATTTACCTCCGATTAACGAAATTGATCGGGGCGGCCGTTATTTCAGCAGTAAGACTCAAAGAAACTAGTTCATAAATATTAAGACGAAATGTAAAAGTGGTGAATCGACAAGAAAAGATTCGACCACATCCGTCCAAGAAGGAACACGGTGGGTATATCAATGGCTTCATTTGAACGATACTCAAGAGATCACAAGACTTATTTAGCCGATGTACGGTAAAACTCTTCATCCTGTTGGGTAGCGAGGATTCTTGGCCCTACTATAACAGAAGACGCTCACCTATGATCTAAGGTTTCCTTATAAGGACTTTTATTAGCTTACGCATCGTATCTATGTTGTAGTTGCAAGATCAAAGCAGATTATGCACGCTTGGCAGAAATTTCACAGGTGGAAATAAGACCATCGGCAAAGCCTATGTATGAGGGGGAGCCTGCTCTTTAGTCGTTTTAAATATTTTTACTTTACATACCGTTTTTTCTTTTAAACGCTGTTTTTGCATTGGCCCACGCAACAGCTCTTATTAGGCGCCGCGAAGCAAGCGGGCATCGGTTCTTTTTGCATTCCACAAGAAAGTCTGTGTATCAATTGTGTGCTGCCGCAACAAGGCCCATGTTCATCATTGCTTTAATAGGAATTGGTAAATATTCAAAGTAGCAAAAAACTTTAATACAATTCGTAGAGTAAAAACCTGGCTGAGAAGCATAACATGAGAATAAGGCTTTCTGGACTAGGCCTCATGTGCGTCCATAGACGTTAGAAAAGTTTGCTGAAAATCCGAGGCGCAAAAATTATTTTATATAAAATAGAATTTCTTTAAGAAACAATTAGACATATTTACTTTGCAAAATTTCTTTTCTATTGAAAATGTTTCAATTGATGTAAATATTGTATATCAGCATAATATCTTTGCTTATGCTTTATGAAATTTAATGTTAATGATGATTAATTATGTACCTATTAAAGCCATTTATCCTACTTCCCGCAGATTCGGAAACCACTTTTACGTCCAACGTGAACATACGCAGCGAAACTGGTGACGGTGGTGCCGTGAGCAATGGTGAGGCGGCTGGTTCTAGCGATGAAAATCGTTCGCTCCTACAACGTGGCAACTCCGATGAACAAAACGATAGGGATGAAAATGCTAGCGGTGAAACTGGGGCCACGTAGCAATTACTTAAAAAGCCAAAGAGCGAATAATAACGCCTACTCTCCGCTCCCTCCGACAGTGACAGTGATAGTGAATAAAACGCTTAGCAACCAGCGAGTAGTAATGCAAAACAAATTGAAAGTTATTATATTTTTTATTATACATAGATACATACATACATACATACTACGTACTTTAAATCATTCATATACATCCATTCGAACATGCAAACATACATTTGTACGCGAAATGTTCAAACGGTATGAGAAAAGAAAAGCAATTAAATTTAACATTAGGGGAACTCGCTCTTATATGTATTCGTTGTATGTTGCGAATTTATACAAAGTGGTGTTACTGGCGAATTTAGATTTTCGCCACGGTACTTCCTAATGTCAAAATGATGTGTTTTTTTGTAAACGAGGCGAATTCATATTACAACAAATACATCATTTTGACATTAAAAAGTACCGCGGCGAGAATCTGAATTCGCCAGTAACACCACCTTGTATAAATTCGCCTTGGTGTGATTTGTTGTTGCTAGCGCTACATCAAATACACATGCAACAACAACCATACGCACGTCCAGTTACACTTACGCAGGATACAGCGAATACACAGAAGCGCGAATACCACTATTTAATAAGCACTAAAGATATTTAGTTACATACATACATATATCATACATACACACATAGCGGCATATAAATAAAATAACAGAAAAATTTACAACATTGCATATGCATGCATATATGTTATAAGATAAGCAGCGGAATGAAAGAAGCCACATAAGTACATACGTCCCTACATCGGTATATATTTATTACATCGACATTTCAAGTTACATACATATATTCTTGAACAAACAAGAGGTATCTATAAGGGAATAATGCAAAACTTAAAAATAAATATCCGTGCTTGGACATTTACAACACCGTCAGACCCATACATCCATACGTGCATACACACAAGAATCTATGCACACAAACGCAGTGTTTAACGCAATCTTAAAGGGAATAGTAACGCAAACAATCCACAAACAATGCTACAAGAATAAGCAAATATTACATTCTTACATCTTATTGATATGATTACAAAAACGTTGCCTTTGTCCTAGGTTTTGGTAAAAAAAAAGCAGCGTTTGTCATAATCGAAATATATTTACAAATATGTACATACAAATGTATGGATTCACAAACACTTTTATGTGCATATGAACTTGCTTGTTAGCAAATCGTTCTTTTTATAACTGTAATTTTATACACTGATGAGTATTCAGCAAACCGTTCCTCTGGCATACTAAAGTGTATTACAAATATACATAACTGGTACTTGTATCTATTTTTTTTTTTTTTTTTGTATATGCCAGTTCACAAAATTGGAGTTATACTAAAATTTTGACCATTAGGGCTTTTTTTTCGTATCAAAATTTTTAATTGGGTTGTAATTTCGCGGCCGCTGTGGCTGAGTAGTTAGAAGTGCAGGATTAACAGCGCTCGCCTCTCGGCACCGAGTGTATTTCCATCTTGAAAAAGCTTCTCATAGAATCCATTTGCCGTTCGGAATCGGCTTAAATCTCTCCCTTTGTATAACAACTTGAAAGACACACATCACAAATTGGAGGAGAAGCGCCAAAATATTATTATTATCAAATTTCTAGGAACAACGATACACATACATACATACATAAGATATTAGAGTGAGTCAATAAAACTATTTAAAAAATTGAAATGTTTTCTTTCTTTATAAACATTCATATTTAATTATGTAATACATATGTATGTATGTACATAGGCTCCTTTTAGCACAAATTTTTGTCAACATATTGTTTTCCTGCAATCATATAATTCTTCTTCGCATAATATCTTTGGGTCCAAACGCAAGAATTTCTTTTCAACCCTTTCCCATTTCGCTTCTTTTCTTTCCATCTTCTAAGTGTTTTGTATACAAAAGTACTTGCATAATACTCAAAAAAAAAATGTTTTTAGCACCGATGCTTTACCCTTAAAAAATATATGATACAAATGATTTTAATATTTATATAGCATACTAATTACTTTAAAACGTCATTAAAAACATATGTATGTATGTGTGAGACAAAATTTGATTGCATTTTTTTTTTTTATAAAAACAGCTAAACAGTTTTTTTTTTTATAACAATAGTTTTAGGTCCTAATTTCATTAAAAAGTATGTATCTACAATAGGAAAGTATTGAAGTGGAAATATGTATGTATCTCGATCAGTCAAAGTGTTACGATTATTTACTCAAAATGTTTATAAAAGATTGCATATATGTATAGTTAGAAGTAAAAATTACTTTACACATTCACGGAAGCAATATACAATACATATTAGATATTAAAACAAATAATTGAAAACTTTAACCAGTGAAATGCTTCGTTTAAGTATTTACTATATTACGTTAAGTTAACTTTATATAGTGGTCGAACAAATTATTGCCGCGTTTGATAAGTTTTAACATTTTTTTTTTTTTTTGTTATTCAATTTTGGTTATTTTTTTTAACTACTTTTTTAATATTGCATGGAATGAACAATATTTTTATAAAAAAAATAACTAAAATTAAATAACGAAAAAAATAATATGTTAAAACTTGTCAAAATGTGGTGCGGCTATAATTTGTTCGACCACTGTATATAAATATGTATGTATGTACCAACTGTATTTAATTAAGAAACGATCACCTTGAAATAATTTAACGGAACAAAAAGTTTGATTTAGTTAGCATTAGAAAACACTTACATACATACATGTATGCATATATTCGTGTGCATATGTGCATTAGGGTAGTCCAAAAATGCTTGAGGGGGGNGGGGGGGGGGGAAAGTAAAGTCGGAATTTGTATGCTCTAACCCCCTAGGATTGTTCTATACCGACAAAAAATGTGCCCCTATCTTTTATTGTGAAATCAAAGCACTCAAAGTTTTCCGTGCATTTTATATGGGGAAAAAACCACTTTTCGTAGAAATGGTATAGAATTCTTGAAAATCAATATTTTTCGATCGAAAAACTCGGTTTCTCTTCAGGAGATTCACAACAATAATAACCAATTATTTATTTAATCATTTTTTCATAGTAACTACATATATATTATAGGTCCCCGAATTTCCCCAGAAAATGCATGGGGAATAAATAAAAAATGTTTAGTATTAAAAAATGGTTAAATAAACAATGAGCTATTATTATTGTGAGTCTCCTGAAGAGAAACGCAGTTTTCCGATCGAAAAAATATTGATTTTCAGGAATTTATACCATTTCTACGAAAAGTGGTTTCTCCCCCCATACAAATTATGTACATGGAAAACTTTGAGCGCTATGAGCGACCACTAAATATTTTTTGATTACAAAATAAAACATAGGGGTATATTTTTTCGATATGGAACCATCCTAGGAGGTGAGAGCATTGAAATTTCAACTTCACTTATTTTGGACCACCCTAATGTACACACATACATATGTACGGGTATGAATGCTGAAACATGGGAGCTTCAACAAGTTGTTATCAAAATTCAAAACAACAACAAAATTATTTCAAAATTGTATTCTAGGACAATAAAAAATACATTTCTCTTATAAATTATAATATGATAAAACACCAATTAATAGAAATTTTTCAAAGGTAATTTCAATTTGATGAGTTTTTATATATAGTTACATACTAAGCTACTTAGAAAAAACCAATCAAACTTGATGACGATCGTTGAATATTGAAACTCCACTTGTAAATTCAAAATCGAGATGCCATTTTCAACTTTGTAAAAAGGTTTTTTAACTTTTTACGATTCGTACGATTACACAGCCACACAAAAAAAAATTTGTGTTCTGACCCAAAGGTCTCACTATGTGTACTCTATGTTTTTGGGGTCGCTGAATCCGAATCCGAGGTCCATTTAACCCCCTCACATCAGGGTTTTGATATAANAGGCTGTGTTATTATTAGATGGAGGGTGTCAAACGATCGATCGTCATAAAATTGTTAATGGGTACTTTCTCGTATATTTAACGATCTTCTCATAACGATGTGCCTGGTGCAATTCTTTTCGAGGTAACATATTACATACATACATACATTCTACATATTTAACTTTATAGGAAAATTGTCCAAGGAATAAATAAAGCAATTTTTCAGAAACATTAAAATTTCTCAAAAAGGGCTCGTTGGATGATTTTGATTCTGGTTCAGAATATCTTCTATTTTGTCCTAGAATACAACAATGAAAAAATTTCGTGGTTGTTTTGAATTTTGATAATAACTTGTTGAAGCTCACCGTGTTAAAAGAATCTTTATGCAAGCGCCATTCAGTCTGATCTTTTTCACAAAGCTTACGAATTTGTGTAATAAACTTAATGCCACACTTGATATTACATATGTACTTAAATTTATATATACTCATATGTATTTGTATTGTATATGTAGGATATGTATTACATACATAAGTACAGATTTATATGTACAGTTGAATCGTTTTTTTTTTTTTAGCTGTAACGTCGATGTTATTGTAGTAACTTCGAGATGTTGAGATTGATGGCTTTTATCTGTGATTCATTATTCACAAACATTACCATTATATATACACACAAACTATTCAGTTAGTTAATAAGAGGGGAACAAATTTTGAATTGAATAAAAAAAGATAGTAAATAGTTTTCAACTTAATATTTCATTGTTGTTTTCTTTAGTTTCTTTATTTAAGTTTATTTAGCAGCTCTCTATTCCCAGCAATATACATACTTATACCTACATATATGAACGTATGTAAGTAACTACTACATACTACCTACTTCTTAAGCACTATTGTTTATTGGCCCCAAATTCCTACTGGGATAAAGTTGAAGATAAGAACATAAGCCGCAAGATTTGTAAACTGTATACATACATACATATCTACATATCTCCTTCTGGTAGAGGACAGAGAAATTTCACTGGAGCACATTTTAGTTGCAAGATATTATTCACGGTTTTTTTTTTGAAATATCAATGGGCAGAAAGAGCTTTCACATTGTGCGCGCCTATTCA